GAATTATTCTAGTCTAGTGTTCCCAGAGGATTCATGGTATAGGTGTGATCTTAAAAAATAAAAATAAATGAAGATATATACAATCGGTGGCTCCGCCAATTTGTAGCTAGGGATATTTTGGACTCACAGAATATACCTTAATTTAAATCTCCATATAATAATCCTTAAATTTTAGTGTTTTCCATATTAATTAACATCTAAAGGTAATTGAATATAGATATTCAATATTTATATATTCAAAATATAATATTCAATATATATATTTATATATAATATAAAATATATATTAATTTATTTGCATTGTATGTTTATATAATAATATATAACATATATAAGATATACTTTTAAGATTCTTATTTTGAAAGATATACTTTTAAGATTCTTATATATATATCTTATATACATAAGATATACTTTTAAGATTCAAGGACTTTTCATATATCCTTACCATCACTTTAGATACCTCAAATGTTATAAAACATTTGAAAGTAAGTTACTGATGTGATTCCCCTTTAATGACAATTTTCTAGAAGGAAAGACTTTTTTGTTTTACTTAACCACAGTGCAATTATCAAAATCAGGAAATTAATATCATTTAAATAGTATTATCTAATCTACATTCCTTTTTCAAATTGTGCCAATTATTTCACTAATATTCATTATAACAATTATGGCCAGAAAATGTTTTTCCTATTCCAGGATCTAACCTAGCACCACAAAATGGGTCACAGACCTCATTCATGGCCTTTAATCTGGAACAATTCCACAGACTCTTTTTTGTCTTTCATAACTTTGACTTTTTAAGTGAACAGCCTATTATTTTGATGAATATCCTTGATTTGACTTTTGTGATGTTTTCTCACTATTGCATTGTGCATTTTGGACAGAAATGTCACCAAAGTAATGTTACACTCTTTTCTGTGAATTATAGTGCCAGGCACATAATGCTTATTTTTCTCTTTACTGATGAGCTTAAGCTTGATCATTGGTTTTCCTCACTTTTAATTTTTCACTTTCCCTTTGTAATTAATTTGTATTAAATTGGGGAAATATTTTGAGATCATGCAAATATTTCATTTATTATCAAAATTTCATCCACGTTAGCATCCAGATCATTTTTGCTTGAAACAACTATTGTTATGGTGTCAAATGGTTATTTCCAATTTTATCATTCCTTCTACATTTATTAGTCAGCATTCTACCATCAAGAAAAATTTTCAGTACTGTCCCATTTAATTATTTATTTAACTATCTATTTAATTAGGTTAAGTATGAACTCATGGTTTCTAATTTTATTCAATGGCTTATAATCCACAAACATCATTATTTGTAATAATGTTTTAATGATTAAACTGTTTCCTCTGGAAGTCTCTCCAAGGTTGCACCCATGTCCTTTGACATGTCACCATTATTATTTACATTGCTCTTTACTTTCTGGAACAAAAAGGTGATCTAGATTAATTTGATTAAGAATTAAATATTTTTCCAAGAAGCTCTGCATTTTTTTATGTGGAAAATGTATTTAGAAACCAAAATATGAGCACTAGGTGTGCTCACTACTACTGGGATGTCATTGCTTCTAGGTCCTTTCCTCAGACAGAGGAAATGTACGCATAGGTATGCAGAGCAAGACACTCAATTATGCAGATGTGTCAGAGTGCATCAATCCTGCTATAGGCATTAGTTTTTTTTCAATTTTATGCAACTAAAATCTATGTTGTGACAAACAGTCTTTTGCATATGTGTTTTTGAGGTATGTCTTAATGGTACTTCCTAGAATAAAAATTGTTGATTAAAATGTAAAATACTTATAGTATATTAGACATTTCCAAGACGGATGCATCCATTTGCATTTTCACAGCAATATATGAGACTGCTTATTTTCCCACAGCCTCTTCAACAGCATGTGTCTTCATACTTGTTTAAATTTTGCCATTTTCATAGATGATAAATGGTATGCCAGGAAGTTTTAATTTCTAGTTCTCTAACTATGAGTAAAGCTGAATATATTTTACTATGTTTAAAAAGCCATTTATATACATTTGTGGTGAATTGTCTGTGATTTTTTGGCTCATTTTCTATAGGATTTTTAGTTTTTTTATAACTTCAAGTTTAAAGAATACTGTTGTGTATTAGAGATGTTAGTGCTATATCTGTGATATACATTGCAAATTTTTCTTCCAATTTTCAGTTGTCTTTTAATTGTGTGTATAGTGATTTTTATTCAGGATAGGGTTTGTTTCTTATGGTAAATTCATGAATATTTTATTTTATTTTTATTTTTGTTTCTTAAGTCTGAATTTTGAGTGATAGCTAAAAAACAAAATGAAACTTTTTCTGTATTCAAGTTACAGAGAAGTACACCCAGGTTTTGTGGTCATGAAAGTTTATATACATGGCATCAGGTATATAAACTACATGATTTTAGTGTAAAATTTCTTTAGATTATCACATTGTTTTCAATATTAATCAGAGTTGTATGTATCAGTAATTTGTTTTTCTTTATTGCTGTGTAGCATTCAATTGCTTGAATATACTACAGTTTTTTTCATTGATGGATATTGGAGTTGTTTCAAGTCTTGAATTATTATAAATAAAAGTTGTTAATATTCTTGTAAAGGTTTTCATGAGTATTTTAAAATATCTCTTAAATATACATCTAGTAATGGTATTACTATGTCATGGAGCAAGTAAATGTTTAGTTCATAGGAAACTTGCAAACTTTTTCTGAAATGATGGTACCATTTTAGATTTTCAGCAACAATTTATGATAATTATAGAAGCATAGAGTGAGTCCTCAGACATTGAATCTGCTGGCATCTTGGCATTGGACTTGCCACTCTCCAGAACTGTGAGCAATAAGTTTCTGTTGTTTATAAATTTCATAGTCTAAGGTATTTTTATAGCAGCCCAAATAGATTAAGACAGTTCTCATTTTAGAAATTTTCATAATGATTTTTTGAGTAGAATTTTCATCTTATTAAATTACCTGCAAAGTACCATCTGTGTGTTCTTATTTTGAAATACTGCCAATGTTCAAGATACAAAAAATAAAAATATAACTATTTCTGTTCCTCACAGTAACCTGCAACTAAGATATGACTAGAGAAGATTTTTAAAGGTTTCAGCTACTGTTAAACAAAGGGTTGTCCTTTCTCCAGAATTAGCTCTTTAAACACAATTCTTACAAAATTGTTTTTGTTTATTTATGTGGGGGAATGAATATATATATATATATATATTTTTTTTTTTCATCCATGATTCCTGGATCATAATCTCTTTGACCTTCTCCTGCCCTCCTTTTACTTACCCCAAGTCAGGGCTCTAATATTCCCTGCCTTTCTGATTTTGGGTGATGGACTCTCATTCCAGAGAGGGTCCTGCCCCGTATCCTGAAGGTGAAAGGACTGTCCATAAAAACCCAAGAAGACTGAGTTCAGAGAGCTTCTGGATGACTAAACATATGGAAGTTCCTAGAGGGTGGCACACCCACGGCTCTGCATTCCTTCCCTCATATTTCACTCTATGCATCTCTTCATCTGTAGCCTTTGTGATATCTTTTATAATAAATCAGTAAATGTAAGAAAGTGTTTCCATGAGTTCTATGAGCCACTCTAGCAAATTAAGCGATCCCAAAGAAGGGATTATGGGAACCTGGATTTTTATAGGTGGTCTGTCAGAAATTCTGGAGACCCAGATTTGCAACTGAGTCCTCACTCTGTGGGATCTGACACTATCTCCAGGTAGTTTCAGAATTGAATTGGGAGATGCCTAGTTGGTGTTCACTATTTGGTGTGTGGGAAAAAAATCCCCACAGAAATTTTGACCACAGAAATATTCTGTGTTGATTATTGTGTTGGCATGGAATTTACAGCAAAAAATGCTTTAAGAGTTTTTCCCAAAACAGTTTGTTTCAAACAGTGTTCAGAGTACTTATTATTCGTTAATATAATGGACATATATTGACTTTGTTCTAAGCGCTAAGCACTCTTCTGAGAGGAAGCATAATTGAACAAAACAGCACTCATGTTACAGAGTAAGGGCATAGGTGGCATAGGTGTTTTTAAAAGTATATTGAAGCATACCTGGACGAAGACTTGAAGGTCATGACATAGTTTTTGAAATTCATTTTCTATTCCTTTTCTTTAAAGACGTATCATATTCTCTGGTCACACAGGATTACTCAAAGTCTAATATATTCTATATTTTCCCACCCCTATATTCTTGCTTTCATTTTTTTCTTCCACCCAGACTAGATTTTCCTTCTTTCTACTTTTCCACCACTCACTCACACAGAGTCCTTGGACCCACACCAGAGTACCTGACTGCAAAGCTTTGGGATTTGGGAGCAGCACCCGGAGAAACCTATACAGTTGAGGGGAGAACGGGGAGACTTCACACAGACAGTGAGGGGTAGGGGAAGCTATTTTTTTTCTCATCAAATAATAAGAAAATGGTGTTGAAGGAAACGATGTTATTCAAGACCTGCTGTACTTCTTCAGGCATTATGTACAGATTAGTTAGAACTATATTTATTACTGATCACATCACTCACATACTTAAAATTACTTAAATCTCATCTTTGTTCTGATGATAAAAGAGAAAATATCACCTTGGCCAACACAGCCCTGTGTGATGTGCCCCTGACACCACGCCCACCCCACTGTTAGCTGCATTTCATTATCTGCCACGTGATCCCTCCTTACTTACTGCTTTGCCTGTCTTCCAAGTTCTTACCATACCTTGGTCTTTCCAGCTTCAGAGCAGTAGCATGAGCTACCCCTCTGCCTGGACCACCCCGTTAGGTCTAGAGGAGGGCAAACAGGTGACAAAGCCAGCAAGGAAGTGGCTAAGGGCAGAGAACAGGACCAAATTGTAGCTAGGAACCAAACTGCGACTAGGAACTGTTCCCTGGTGGGAACATACACAGCAAGGAGCTCCTAGTGACCTTTAACTGACCTGGGGCTCATTACCATCTATTAATAATTAGCGTGGCATGGGTGGAGTTTTCATGAAGGATTTTGGGAAAGAGACATGAGTAGAAAGGGAAACTGTTAGGTAAGCAACTTGTAATGTAACCTGTTACATAACCCTGGCCTAGAGGTTCAATCATCCCTAGAGGCAGGCGACGGGAACCGATCCTGCCAGGAGGAAGGCAAGACAAACTAGTGAGCACGTAAAAACGCAGTATGCACTCCGTCATCGGCTTCAGTCGGTACCAATACTCATTCTTTTTTTTTTTTTTTTTTGTAATTTTGTAATTTTTTTTTATTTCGGCATATTATGGGGGTACAGATTTTAAGGTTTCAATAAATGCCCATTCCCCCCCCCAAGTCTGAGTCTCCAGCATGACCATCCCCCAGTTAATGCACATCTCACTCATTATATATGTATATACCCGCCCCTCCCCCTCCTCCATCCCCTCCCCCCTCCCACCTGCCCAATACCCTATTACTGTAGTACCTATGTGTCCACTTAGGTGCTTCTTGACACTGGGGGAACCAGGGGACCAGGGAACATCTAGACAGAGCTAACACCCCTGCCTGTCTCATCCCATCCAAGCATTTCCGATGTAATCCCCTTTCACTTGGCAAACTTAGCTCACAATTCACTTCCTTATGCAACCCTTCCCTTACCCCCTTACCGTCCTCCCCTGCCTTTCCTTAGAGAATATTCTATTACATGAGTACAAAGCACCCTAAATCACTTTCTTGTAGCATTGTATTAAAATATTGCTTAGTCAGTTATTCAGTGTTTGTTTTACCTACAATAACAGGAAGACAAGGACTGATTTTGTCTTGTTTAGTGCTGATTCTCCTACTTAGTACATTTTTTGCATAGAGTAGATTTTTAATAAATGCTAGTTGAAGAATGATCTATTTTTTATTTATTAAAATGACTATTCATTTAGAAAGAGAAAAGAAATGCCAGAACATAAGACATTTTTAAAAGCTGAAAAATACCAAATACAAAGTAAAGAAAAATAATATTTGTATTACCTGCATGACATACAGCTGTAACACTTTTTACCCCTACATTTTGTCTACTCTTTGATTGCCTTTCACATGACAATTTTGTATTTTTCTAGGGAGAGAAAAGAAAATTAATTTAGTCTTTCTTGTAGCATTGTGTATTAAAATTTGTTCTTTGTAAAGTTTTTGATAGCTGGGACACAAAACATGCAATTTTGCATACAAATGTACTTATTTCTATTAGTTTGGGTCTTTGAACATGGGAGTCTGATAAATTCTATTCACATAGTATACCTTAAAAAGGTATGGTGCATTTACAATGTATGTCTTGCTTTATCACACATTTCTGACTTGAGAATATTGTCCCTTTGACTCTGTTTTCATTTCACATGCTTGATAATTGGAAGTATTTTCCACAGACTGGCATCTTATATTGAATATTTCAAACCTAGGCTTCTCTTTGATCCTCTAACTTCTAGGTCTGGATGCCACAGGACATGATTGTGTAGTAATATGGCCTCTGGTCTTGCAACTTGGTGTCTTGAGGTGGAGAATCAGCATAGTGGTGGTAGGTGTATTTTATAAAACTATTCCTATCTGTATCTGTTATAACTACTAATAATTATACACAGAAGTGATCTTGAAGCCTGCACATATTCCAATAACACCACACTAAATTTGTTCTTAATGCAATGTCTTGGCCAAATCCATAAAATTGCCTTCATGCCATTCCAGTGCTTTCTTAGAGGAAAGAAGACAGAGTGTAAAGAAATAACAATCATAATAGATTATGATTAAAATATTTTGAAATATTTTAAAACACATGGCCACGTGAATACATGATTAGGGTGTCGCAGTGGACTTTGGAAGGAGCCCACTTTGGAAGTGAAAGTTACTGAAATGTAAGCATCATGAGCTTTATGGTAAATCTATCTCTGTTATAAATTATTTTGAATACATTTTGGGGTATATCACTCAAACATTAAGAAATTATAGCCCAAGATTTTGCTACTTAGAATTGTCTTTTAGGATGAACACATTTTACCATGTCAGTTTGTTTCCTTTTTTTTAGAGACCCACATGCAGGGGAGAAATGAACACTTTTTAATTTCAATTTGTTCATTTGCTTTTATATAAGTCTTCCTTCTCAACCTCTCCTCATTTTTTTTCTGCTTTCCTCTCATTTTTCCTTTTATTAAGATGAAAAAGATTGTTTGTTTTCATGAATGAAGCTACCAGCCCAAGTTACGAGGCCCATACAGTATTGTGGACTATGGAAGGAGCGTTTCCAATCTTTGCATGAGATGCTTCTGAGTCAAGAACCTGCAGAGAGGACATGACAAGTACATGGAAGCATTTGCAAGGGAAAAAAATGACTGTTTTTGTAAAGTGGAGACTTTATGATGGCTTTTGAGCATGTAGCGGATTTGCTGTTATATTCACAACCATGCAACTATGTCTGTTGAAGTTGTTATATTTCAGATAATACCCACAGCAGCATAACTCTGCATAAGCTCAGAGCTCTTGCAATCAGTTTCATAATGGTTTCGTTCTCTCTTTGCTTTCTCCTTTCTTTCTCCCTTTCATATATTTGTGTTATTATTGTTTGGAATTTTTGCATCTATTTTCATGAGAGGTATCAACCTCTAAATTTGTGGTTTCATAATGTCTGTGCATCCCACAGTAAATGACACTATTATGTCATGAGCCTGGCTCTAAATATTGCTCCAAACGTAATCATGGGTTGTAGCCCAACTAGGCTTCAAAAGTGTGATGAACACTTGATATCTATGGGATCTATGGGTCTTGCCTTTTTTATGGCCCAAACGGCTGTTTTCTACTTGAACCTTTGTAAGACTTCCAGAAGATGAGGCCCATACTTATAGAAAATGTAGGAGGAAGTGTGTGATTTGCCTCCCGTTTTCCCAAAAACTCCAATATTAATATTATCACAGATAAAGTCACAAAAGAGGTAACAAATATAAACATTAACAGGGGCATTCTCAGATGCAGAATTGAGAATACAGAGGATAATTTTTATCATTTCTAGTGTATGTTTAGAGAAGGAAAATATTCAAACAAAGATGATATTTCTTATCAAAGTCTTATTATTTAAGCTATAGTATGTATTGCCATGAAGAACATACAAATAAACAAAGATAAACTTTATTGATTATATAAACACAAACATTTGACAAACCTACTATTTTCCGAAAAAGATTTTGTCATCATTCCTTGGGACAGATGTTTATAAGCACTTTACATAAATACAGTGAAAGGACATGTTTATACTCTTCATTAGATATCATTAGTAAAACTCCATTCACTTAAAATTTGATTATATAGAATTTATGGTTGATTTTCATAATGGTATATCCTATGTACTTTATTTAGATTGTAAATTCTGTAAATTACTATATTATCTTTTATTCCTAATGGTGCTATGTAAATATTTGAGGAATTGGGATTTTTCCCATGCACCTATTATTCCTGTACATTTATTATTTTGACCATTAGCTTCTTTTCCACTAAAAACATCTCAGTGATGAAAGGAATAGAAGACAAAACTCAGCCTCAGTTTAAAATATAGGACAGGGATTGCAAACATTTTTTGGGTAGGACCAGATAATAAAAAATTTGAGTTTACTCCACTCTGCTGTTGTAGATGAAATCAGCTATACACAACACATAAAGGAATGAATGTGCCTCTGTTCCAATAACATTTTATTTAATAAAAAACAGGTGGCAGGTTGCATGTGGCCATTGACAACTCCTGGGCTAGACTATTCATTTACAGCCTCAAATAAGTAACTGAAAGCTTAAAACCATCCAGCTGCAAAAATGTCCTTCCTCCCTATTTTTTTCTTCTTTTATTTTTTTCCTTTTGTTTGTTTTCTCCTTCTGTGAGAATCAAGGTCTAGTTCTGTTTGATTAAACATTATGGGAAAATTTTACTTATATGCAATAGAATTATGTACCGAGTCACACGTACTGTTGCCATTTTTATATATTCACACAGGAAACCCTCTGCAGTAAGGTAACTTTTACAACTTGGTTACAATTAATTTATTACACATACAAGTTTCTACTTAAGCTTCATTGCAGCCTCACAATCTGTGAGATAAAGGTGTTTTAGCAGCTCTGCTTAGAGAGTGAAAACAGAGCATGCTGGTTTATTTTGTTTAAATTTATCATAAAAAGCATCAATTAATTCAACATCAACTTGTCAGTTGAACCTGCTCCCCCTTTCATCTCAGATAGCCACATAATTTATTTTGGAAGCTATCTGCTTTGTTGTTTCTATCTCACTGAATTCTCATTTCCTAGATCTTCTGCCATATGGTACTACTATTTAATAAAGTTCCATTTCAAAAATGCCACACATAACGAGAAATTTAAAAAGAAATACACAAAAGAGAAATTCAATGACAGTCAATGATTCTTAGTCACATAGGCTCTCAGCTTTCAATGAGAGTGACAAGGCAAGACTTGCAAGAAGAAAGGACTCTGATCCATATCACTGTTATTCACCTCAACTCTTGTAAAAATGTCATTTTTTAAAAAAAGAAATTTCTTATGTTAAGTATTCCAATATGTTATTAAAATAATAAGGCCATTGTTCCTTAAAAGTATGTGATAAGACTTTCTGTCATTCTCCTCCTTAATAATTTTATCTAGATTACATATTTTCTGTTAAATCTATCCTTACTTGTGATAATACTATAATGAATCATAATAAGAATTATATTATTACATCATCAGACCTTTTTCATGAGCACTGAATTGAGAAACATAAAATAAGGTTATACTTCAATTCTTCACCCCAGTCCATAAGTACATTGTCCTCAAAAAACGAAACTACTTTTATATGAAGCCACTACACTATGCATACCAATGATAAGCTTTATAATCCAGATACTTTTATATGCTATAGTTGTACATTTAATAGGCAAATTATGTGTATATTATGGAAAAGGTTAAAACAATGCTGATTTTAACTGTGATCCATCAAAAATAAATACTTTTATTTTTGCTTATAATGAAATATACATTAAAGGTTTTTAGTCAAAAATGATATTAAAATAATTATCTTTATTATAAAGATAATTTTTGATGATTAAGACAAAATTTTATCATAAGAACTTGATGATAGAATTAAAAATATTTATCAAATATGTTTTCAGTGTTTAAGTCTAATGCATACTTTTGGAAAATTCTGACTTGTTTCCATTTGCAAATGATGGGGTATTTGTATGAATCTAATAATTGAACTTTTTAAAGGCAATCTTTACTCCATATCACATCAATCCATCAATTTTTAAGTTATTCTGACTTGTAAAACTTGAAATATTATCACATTTTAAATATAATTATAAAATACAAAATATTGTCATTACTAGGTCTTATTTCTAAAACAAGTTGTGGTATGGGAGTATAGATTTTTCCCTTCTTGTATCTTTTTTCCAAAGTGTTGAATTAACTGGATACTTGCCAACATGGAAATATTACCTAATGTTTGCACCATATTATAAAATTTTTGTCTTAAACTCAATAAAATTTCATGATTGTGTAAATTCTCTAAGCTTCTGATACAATGTAAAAGAAAGGAACACCTCATTCAACCTAACAGAATATGGGTAAAGAAGCTGTAGAATACTTATATTGATTTATTTAGTTATAGAAATACCAACTTCCATATCATTATTTAGATTAGACATATTTATATTCAAGCATATCAGTACATCTAAAATAATTATTTCAAAAGGGTGATATTAAAATATAAGAAAACAAGTCAGAATAAAAAAATAAAAAATATAATAAAATATACAATTTTATTACAGCCTAATAAAATATACAATCCTCCCTGAAATTGATACTGCTTCCAATCGATAGATTCAGAATGAGACATGATTTTTTTCTGAGCATATACTTTAACATAGATTTTAAAATACAACATCTACTGTAGCTGTTGAAAATTGAGTAGATAAAATCCTATGCATTTCAGAGGTATGGATGAAAATAAGAATATAAATATTGCTTTTGGTGGATTTTTTGTTTTTTGCTTTAATACGAGAAGTATAAGATTCAGTTATGAACTGTGAAAATAAAGCTACCTTCTCTCATAATACAGACTATTCTTAATTATTAGTATGTATAATAGTAAATATATTGAAGTATGATCATCTTGACAAATGTTTATGTTGAGTTTTATGAATGTACTATAGTAATAATATTTACTGTACTTTTTACTATAGGAATAGCTCTTCTTGTCAATTTAGTATTTGTACCTCTGGAGAAAACTGAATTTTTTAAAGGAATATTTTTATCATATAGTTTTTTAAGTTTCTTTCTAAAGTAAATTGCTTCAACTTTTAAAATTTATATCTCTTTGTGTTTGAAATGTTTTGTCTTTCAATGTATCTACAGGCATCCAGTAAGCAATAATATTAACATTTCTTTTACAGATTTTCATTACATTCCATCCAAAAACAGTTTTAAATTGCAGTGAAATCTAGCATTTATTTATACTTTGCCTAATAGTTGATGTTCCTAAAATATATCTTATGGACCTTTTAGTCCTATAATTTTATTACAGATATTTGAGTATTAATAGTAATTAGTATAATTATGATCATGGCTAATATTAACAATATGAGATAATCATTCAAATCTATCAAATGAATCTTTATATGGAACAATTTCTCAGGTCTTGTGGTTAATGTTAGTTGAATGTTCAACTTCTCTTCTCTCGGAACATCCCAATTGTGGGTTCAATTATGTTCTCTAAAAGGAAATGCTGAAGCCCTAACCCCAAGTACCTGTGAAAATGACCTTATTTGGAAATAGGGTCTTTGCAGATGTAATCAACTTAAGATGAAGTCATTCTGCGTTAGGATGGGTCTAAGTCCAGTATGCCTGGTATCCTTGCAAGAAGAGAAGAGGCACAGAGACAGACACAAGGAGAACACCGCGAGTCAACAGAGGCAGCAACCCCAGGAGTTGAGAGAGAGAAATGGAAGAGTGTCCCCTTCAGAGAGAGCATGACTCTGCTGATACCTTGATTCAGACCTCTTTACAGCCTCTGGAATGTGAGAGAAAAAAATTTCTGTTGTTTCAAGTGAGGCAGTTTGTGGCAATGTCTTACAGTAGACAGAAAACTAATACAACCCCTTCATCTCCTCATTCAAAGGGTCATGCATTGCTTTTTAATTATTGGCCCATTTCTGCCCTTAGTTCTCAAGTGGAGAGTCATCTTCCTCATAACATCAATTCATACCACACAACAGTTGCTTAATAAATGTTACATAATTGAGTTGGTTAACCAGAAACCACATTAGAAATAAAG